CGCCTGCCGCTGCCCTCGATGGCAGACCCACCTCCGGTTTCGCTCCAGATCCTCCCCTGACGGAGTCTCCAGCCCCCTCCTTGGGCGGGGGGTGTGCAGCCAGCCTGCTCTCTCCCCCCCCCCCCCATTTTGTTATGAAAAATCTTGACTACATCAAAGTTGAAAGAATTTTACAGCAAATACCCCTACGCCCGCCACCTCGATCAGCCATCAGCGTTGGCTGCGCCTGCTCTATCCTGTGTCTGCCTGTCTTCTGACCCCTCTGCCCGTCCATCAGCCACCTGGCTTCCTGGTGCCTTTCGAGGCACGTGCCACACACAGTTCACTGTGGTCTGACTACGTGCGTGATGCAAATGCGTCCGTCCCAGCAGGGAGCCCGGCGGCGCCTTGGCCATGGTGTCCAGTGCGCTGGGCTGTGGGCAGTCGCGAGCGTCATGCAGACAGCACGGCCTTCAGGGTCCTGACCCGCCTGGGCGAGGCCTGACCCGGCCAGCAGTGTGGGACTGCGGTGCCCTCGCTTCTGGTGTCCGTCTCTGAGTTAATTTATGATGTGACCCCAATAAAAATCAGGCTTTTTCTGGAACCAGACCACTTACTGCTCATTTGTGTTACAAACAGGGAAGAACCCCAGGAAACCTGAGAAAACAGGAGGGTGCCCCACAGCCGGGCGCCGGGTGCGGATCCCGCAGGAACGGGAGGGGCTCTGCTCCCCATGAGGCCGAGGGGCGGGAGGGCCGCTGCCGGGGGTCTGTGCGCCCCAGTGGGCAGCAGGGTGAGCCGCAGTCGGTCAGACGTGAGTGAAAACCGACTGGCCATCTGTGTACAAACATGGGCGGGCCTTCAGCAACCTGGGGGACGGGAAGCTTTCCTCCCTGTTCCCCCAAAACCCTGAGGCGGGAGGGTGGTGGCCAAGGGTCTAATAACGTGAACATGCATGAAAGAAAAGTCAGGGAAAATATTTGCCAGCGATGAAGCAGAAGGTAGCTCTCCCGAGGGCAGAGTTTTCAAAGATAGAAAGAGGCCGGTGGCCAGAGACAGACGGGCAGGTGGGGACCGGCGGTCCCAGGAGAAGACGGGTCAGGGGCCCCCAGACGTGTGAGGAGGCAGCGCACGCGCACTTGTCCCGAGGGGCGCGTGGGTGACGGCCCTTTCCGGATGGGCCCCGGTGCCGGGTGCTGCCTCCTGTCGTTATTTTGAGCTGGAAGCAGACGGAAGCTGTGGTTCCGTCCTTCCGGGCCGTCACCAGTGTCGGGGGAGGGTCACCATGTGGCCGTAACTCAGCCCAGTCGGCCGAGGGAGCCGGGGAGCACAGTGCCTGCCCACAGAGGGGGGGCCCGCTCCCCTGCGGAGTCTCCCCACGGACG